TTATTTTATTATTAGACATGCAATACTGTCTACTTTTTAAAACATGCACAGAATAAATTACACAGCCCCAATCCACCTGCAAAAAGAAAAAAGAAAGAAAAAGAAAAGCAAGAAACAATGAATAAGAAGGGACACTGCTTGCTTGCATACTGTCACAAAACAGATGAGGAAAGTGTGTGATGCTTAGCTGCAAAAGAAGTGACCCCTACCCCAGAATAAATATACCAAAAATATGCAGGACTACATTAGAATTTGTAGAGAGAGTCAAATAATTTGTATAGTGAATGTTAAACCTATCATGCAAACAGAGATGGGATTATAAACCCAGTTTTCCTTTTGGCACAGAAAGAAGCCATGAAAGATTGTGAAAATATTTCTGGCTTGTTATTTCTTTTGATTATTTGTGGTTTGTTTTTGTTGGGTTTTTTTGGGGGGGCGGGGGGGTTGTCAACCTATTAGAAATTCAGCTCTCGTCTGCCCTGGAAGGCTACTATGACCGATAAATTAGCAGAATGACATCACAAGAGAATGAGAGCTGAGCAATGGAGAGGGGAAGATAATTTTAGGTTAGACCATTTAAGTGTCTGGTGCATTAATTTCCATTCACCTCCAAAGCCCGGTGAAAGCACAAGTGGAAGCGTCAGCTCAAGATGTATTCCTACACCCAAGCAGTTTAGATGCAAGACCTCGCCTACCCAAAACCCAGCCGAGAAATCACTGGACACAGGGGAGAATGTCACTGCCACTGCCAAACCTTGACATCCTTGATGCTGTTAAAGCAGTGGTTTTCCATCTCCTTAAACTCAGGCTCAAGGCACCCTTCAGAAAATGCTGTCTCTGAGCTTTCACGAATTTCGCGACTACAGAAAAACATCAGAGCAATTCTTCTGTAGCAAAGAACTGAGAGAGACTACAACCGGTCAAAGTGTTTGAGACACTGGATTCCTGTTTGAAACCTCTGGGTTTACCTTGTGAATTGTGTGTAGGTGTTTGCACACCCACCAGCACTAATACTGTGTACCCTTAAAAGGATCTCTCAGTATCCCCCAGGTGCTGGAACCCTGGTTGAGAATCACTGTGCTAAAGCCTATCCTCCTCAAGCACATGCTGGAAGCCCTCAGCTCTTCTTTGTACATCACGGCACAGCAAAAAGATATATGAAGTTTATCATTTCTTTCCCAAGACACCATTCCTTGTTAAAGCCATCAATGCAACTTTTTACTATTCTCATATCGACTGAAACACTTGCTTTCTTAATGCGAGGACACAGGCCTGAATCTGGCAAGAGATCGTCGAACAGCTTGTCTATTTTTTTTAATTATATATTCCCCTGCCCACAAGTCATTTTAAGTTTCAGTGCATGTTACATCAAAGACTTCTTTTCCTCACAGAACAAGTTATTTTGGTCGGAGAAGGCTTGAAGTAGCACCTATGCAAGATGATGTTAGGAAAGAATATTATTCCATTTTCCATGGGAAGAAACTGTCAGTGAGAGACAGTTATTCAGATAACTAGTTAGTCTCCAAGGTGCCACTCTGCCCTACTTTCTTCCTGAGTTCAGACTAACATGTTTCATCTGGGGAGAAGTAACCAGCGACATGAATACAGGTTAGGAGCAGATGTCCTGGCCAGCACAGTGGCTGAAAGGGACCTCTGGGTTACGATTGATCACAGGATGAACATAACCCGCCAGCACAATGCTGTAGTCAACAGAGCTAAGCACACTGGGATGCATTAGCCAGTGCGTTACGAGCAGGGCTAAGGAAGTGATGCTTCCTCTCTGTTCGGCGTTAGTGAGACCCCAGCTGCTGTACTGTGTCCAGTTCTGGGCACTGCACTTCAAAAAAGATGTGGAGAATCTTGAAAGGGTGCAGAGAGGGGCCATGAAAATTATTAGGGGCCTAGAGGACAACCCTTGAGGCAAGACTAAGGGATCTGGGATTGTTCAGCCTGGGGAAGAGAAGACTGAAGGGGGACTTGGTGGCTATCTGTAAATATGTAAGGGGTGAATATTGGGAGCTGGGAGAAAAACTGTTCGCTAGGGCAGCCCAGGAGCATTGGCCATACACTGAGAGGATGGTTTCAGGTTGGATGCAAGGAAGAACTTCTTCACAGAAAGGGTGAGAAGAATCTGGAATAGACTTCCCAAGGAGGTGGTGCAGTCTCCAACCTTGGAAGTCTTCAAGAGGAGACTGGACAGACGCCTTGCTGGGATCATTTGATCTCTGCAGTATTCCTGCCCAGAGCAGGGGGGTTGGACTCGATGATCTTTCGAGGTCCCTTCCAGTCCTTAAATTCTATGATTCTATGAACATGGCTAATCACCTCTATGACAGGGAGAAATTAATTCAGTTTACCATGATCATATCAGGAATGGCAGAAGGGGTTATAATCGGTGGTAAGAGGAGGAAAAGAACCATGCCAAGTATCAGAGCACATTCACCTTTGTCATCTTAATCTCATATCTTGCAGTTTACCAGAGGAAAAGAAAAAGAAAAATCCTCACTGACTCTTGGAAGTAGCACAGGGGTTCCCCGAGAGTGAAGAAGAGTTTGGGACCTCTATCAAACACACCAGGTCCCAAATAGTGCTAAGAACCCTTTGGCAGGGTTTCATATCAAGGATCACAGCACAAAAAATAAAAAGAGGATCATATTGCATTCTTTGGAAAGACGCCAGGACAATTATACTGGGAGGGGGCTGGAATTTAAGGGCAGAGAGGAAAAGAGCCAGCTAGGTGGATAGGGAAGCACCCCAAGCAATAGTGACATACCAGACATGCTAGGCTGCAAAACACTATAGTAACCTACTCAGACTGCACCTACAATCACCAGATATTTATGCAAGCCCAAGCAACAACAAAACAGCCCCACATGTATTATCATCACACAAAAGTAAGATGGCATTGAGCAAATTGGGAGAGAGCACAGCCCTCGGTCACCTAGCCGGTCTTTCCACAGGCTCTAGGAGACAAAATCCAGCAGCCTGCATTCAGGTTTTCATCAGATGTTTAAAAGCTTAACTTCAACATCAACAACAATCAATGGGCCCAGCAGAAACGCGCCAGGAGGGCGTACTGCCAGCCATCAGATAGAGCTGACTTGGCATTTGGAAAAGAAAGGATAAAGCTAGCGCTGCATGGCTGCGCAGCAGGGGGCCTTGTTAAGGAACGGTAGAAAGATGGCAAATCTCCTTTATAAAAAATATAGGGGAGGCCTCCAGAGGAGGGAGGAGGAAGGAAAGTCTCTTACAATCATGTAGTGGCTCTGAGGAGCAGATCCAGGTGGATGCAGTGGTGCAGCTGCACCCCTCCCCCCCTTTGATTCCTGCTCCACCCAGACTTTAAAACCAACTGCCTGGGAGGGGCAGCAGCATTTCTATTCAAGCAGCAGGGAGGGAGTCACTTGACTTCAGGTCTCATGTCATCCCTCCATGTCCCCCATTCATGCTGATCTGTCCACTTCACAGGTGTTACCAACCCTCTCTCCAAGGGCTTAATGTTCCACTATCAAACTACCCTTTCCTCTGCAAGGTAGCTGTTTGTTAGCCATTCCCAGGAATGCCCCTTTTCTGTTTCACAGCCCTACAGCCTGTCTCTGGCTCTCGCTAAAAACCCTCAAACTCAGGTATAGTCAAATTAACTCAAGGTGTAGAAATGACTGACAGTGAAGTATTGGAGGCATGGTCACCACACTCAAGAAGGCAAAATTCTGTTTTATGAGATATACATTTAACTGTAATGACTAGGGGACTGATAGCACAACTTCTTTTTGACTACTTTGACTCTTATTGTGCCTGGTGTGCGTGGGTTTTTTTAATTAATAGCTACGCTAGTAAACTGGCACGCATTCCAATAGTTATTGCGGTTTTGCTTTGATCTTCAACTGAATGACAAAGCGCTGCCGCCCCCCCCCCCCATGAATAACACTTTTAGTTTCTCTTTCATTAGAGGAAAAATGTCTTGTGTTCTAGGCAGCCATGGGACACACCGTCTGCACTGCCTTTTCCCAAATCCTAGCTCCGCCTGTGGCGGCTTCACATTAGCCTGGGTCTTGGCATCAGCTGAAGGACGAAGGAGCCTTGCCCTACAAGGTGCTGCATCCTGGGGGTGTTGTTTGTAGCCTCTCGTCTCCCCCAGGATCCTGCTGGTCAGGTGCCTGCAGCGCAGCCCATGGGGCCTGGGCTCAGGGCATTGCCACAGCTCTACCCGCCTGGGCTCACGGGCCCTGGAGCTGTGGCAGCTGCTCCAGAGCACATCCCTGGTACCTGCAGGGCAGCGCCTGGGAGCGGCAGGGACAGGGGCAGACCCCCACAGGTGATGCCCCTCCGCAACCAGCACCTCCCCCATGTTGGGGGTGCAGCAGGGGCATCGCCTGCTCACATGAGGGGATCCAGGACCTCCACCCCCAGCAATTGGGCTGTCCTAGTGGGGGGCTGGGAAGTCCAAGGACCACCCCCCCACTTGCAGGAACTCAGATGCCCCAAGGGGGGGATCCAGGATCCTCCCCAGGGCCTGATGTGCCCCATTAAGGGGGTTATCCAGGAGCCCCCACCCCCATGCAAGGGGCAAGGAGGAGCTGAGATGTCCCCTGTGACAGCAAAGAGCACGTGACCCCCCAAAACTTCCCTAGCAAAGGCCAGACTGCGCATGCGCAACACTGGAGCGCACCCCACGGGGATGAAATGCGCATGCGCCCTCTAGTGGGAGAGGCGCACACCACCTGCAGCAGAGGGTAAGTGGTGATGTGCGCATGCGCCCCCTAGTGGGAGGGGAGCACACCACTTATGGCAGAGGGGGCGTGGTGGAGTGCGCATGCGCCCCCGTGGGCAGAGGGAGTGCGCCCCCTGTGGGAGGGGGAAGTGAGCATGCGCCGTCGTGTGGGACAGGGAGAGGCCCCCGTTGGGGGGGCGAGTGCGCATGCGCCCTGCTGTGGGAGGGGGAAGGAGGGACCCCGTGAGGCGGAGGGGGAAAGGCCCCGCCCCGCGCCGCTGGGACCCACCTGCGAGCTGGGGCCTGCCCGGCAGCTGCACGAAGCGGTTGAGGAGCCCCCCGGGCGGCCCGGGCCCGTCACCGCTGCCCCCGCCCGCTCCGCTGCCGCCGGCG